GGTTGGACTAGATGACCTTCTGGGGTCCCTTCCAACCCTTATATTCTATGATTCTATGCCATTCTGGACTCTCTCCTATCAGAGGAGATGAATACAAGTTATGATAGAAGGAGTGAAAGATCAGATCACTCTCTCACCTACTTCGTATAGTTCGGCCATTTCTCAGATGGCCACTTCTTCAATACCTCTCACACCAATCCACATGGTGTGTGATCTTATTGCTGCTTTTAGAAATTTATCCTTTACCTAACAGTGTGAAAATCAAAGGGCTCAGACAAGTTCTTTAGAATCATCCAAATGAAGCATTGCAAGATCTCGCCACAGCTTTGTACATAAAGAGACCATATTCATCTCTATATAACTCCAGTGGCTTCAAGGGAAAGATTTGGCCCAATATTATCCGGCAATGAGCTTTCACATACTTTTTTAAAGTGGCTTTTCAGCACAACAAAAAACAACTGAAATGCAGGAGAAGCTATAAGCCGTCATTTACTTTCTACTCACCTCATCCTTAATCCTGCTTTTCCGTCTTGTTAGACACTATACTGACATGGACTGGAATGCACCAGTCCAGCCTCTCATGTTGTAACCAAGCAGAATCCAAGCCTCTGGATTGGACTGCTATTCCAGGGTCTCTCTCATTATCTTACCCCTGCCCATCACAGCTACTATGACAGCCCAACACCTGCTGGTAGGATTAGAGGCCTGCTCAGAGGAGTCATGACCAGAGGCCTTTTAAACACCATATTATAGACCTTATTGTACCCATAGTTACCACATCCAGAATCCCAGCATCCATACCAGCCGTCCCTTTAGCAGGCCTATTGGCACTTAGCAGGCACATCCAATTATGGCATTAGCTTTTGTGAGCTGAAGCAAGAATTCTGAAGGAAGACTTCCAGAGCCACTGACACCTCACAGAAAACTTTGACAAGACAATTCTGCTTTAAATGCCTGATCCTGTGAAGTGCCAAGCATCCTCACTCACTTTCTAAAGTCAATGGCAGCAGACTGAGCATTGTATCGGACTTTTCTGTATGTCTCTTCTCTTCTGTTTTTAACAGATATTTTGTATGGGGAGATGCTGTTTGCTTGGCACAGGTTCATTTGTTGCGTCTACTACTCACTTCCCGACCTGAAGACAAAACCCTCTGTTTCTGACAGTTTGTTGCAGTGGAGATGAGGGTGTTGTCATAAACATTCAGGTGGGAAATAAGGTAGCAGGAAGAGATTGGATTCTGAAGTAGTGTTTTTAAAATCCCATTTCTATGCAGACGGGGGAGGGAAAGATGCTCCTGAAGAAATAAAGATGTCTCTAAACGACATATTTTTCAGTTTTCTGTGCAGCCTCATTGTGGGCCTTTTAATGACATGTTTACATCTGCTAGTTTCACACAGGGCTCTGGCAACCTTCCAGACAGAAGGTAATTTGGGTTATTAGAATCAGAAGAACCTACTACAATCCCCCTCCACGCAATGTGGAGGCGGAGTATATGGGAAAGTGACAGCTGGTGCAAGAATAAGTATTTTGTCACACTGAGGTTGACTTGATTTTTTTATTTATTATTATTACAGGGCCTTGTGCTGCTAGCCCACCCTGTTTCCGAGAAAGCTAGCATTGTACGGACCTGCACCTTGCCATTATTGATATATCTGGGCCATGCAGATATAAATTCAGACAATTTAGTGGGAACCTTGGTCATGATAATCACAGAATCATAGGACTGGAAAGGACCTCAAGAGGTTATCTAGTCCAGTCCCCTGCACTCAAGGCAGGACTAAGTATTATCTAGACCATCCCTGACAGGTGTTTGTCTAACCTGCTCTTGAAAACCTCCAATGATGGAGATTCCACAAGCTCCCCAGGCAATTTATTCTAGTGCTTAACCACCCTGACAATTAGGAATTTTTTCCTAATGTCCAACCTAAACCGCCCTTGACACAATTTAAGCCCATTACTTCTTGTCCTATCCGCCAAGATTAAGGAGAACAATTTTCTCCCTCCTTCGAACAAACTTTTATGTACTTGAAAACTGTTATGTCCCCTCTCAGTCTTCTCTTCTCCAGACTAAACTTCCCCATTTTTAAAATCTTCCCTCATAGGTCACATTTTCTAGACCTTTAATCATTTTTGTTGCTCTTCTCTGGACTTTTTCCAATTTGCCCACATCTTTCCTGAAAGGTGGTGCCCAGAACTGAACACAATACTCCAGTTGAGTTTAAAAGATAAATCAAACCTCAGAGGGCTCAGGGAAGAGGTAATGAGATACAGTAATTGGCCTGTTGGTTTTAGGTCACTGGTTCAAGCTGATAGGCACGGTTAGAAGTTGCTACTGTCTGAGGGTTTCTTGGTTGCCTTTGTGAGATGTGTTGCTGCTTCTCAGTTTAGCTCCTAGTGAACAGGTGTCCACAACACACACACACACACAGACACACACACACACACACACACAAAAAACAACCACCCTACTGAAACAAATGTAAGAGAGTGACATCCTTGGATCTCAGCAGAGATCCCAAAATGTGGACTGAATAAGGAATGAATCATCTTTCTAACCCTATATGTGATCTTTGTAGGTCAGGTCTGACCCAGTAAGGGAGGAGATTGCACTGCCACATTGTACCTTTTGGGTGGATAAATGGCAGAATTTAGTCTCCAGGGCTCTCGATCTGGTACTTTTCTCAACATTAATTCACTTTAAAGATATATTAAAAAAAAATCCCCACCTATGCCTCCTAAAACTTGATTATTTGAGTCAGCTTCTCAGGGCAGCTTCTCCACACATGGAGGCATATGGTCTTTGAATAAATACAAAATTCATTGTGAAGCACACCTTTCTTTTTGGCATGCTCCCCAAAAGGAACCTCCCCCTGCAGCATTTCAAACTTCAGTCAACAAACAGACAGCGCTTTGCAAAAGGACAGAGTGACATGACTTGTAAGGTATTGTCAAAGAGCTGTCAGCTCTGATCCCATCTCCGAAGAGCAGGGAAAACGGATGCTGCTGCAGCAATGCTAAATGCGCTGTTTATATTTCCCATACGGGGGAAACTAAATGATTAGACTCCATATTTGAATTTGGACAAGAATCACAAATGCTCTGAACAGTGGGAGAGGGTGAGGGCAAAAGCAACAAATAGAGGCTTGGAGGGTTGACTCTGTTGCTCTCTGCACTGGATACACTGGCATATTAAGCAGCACCTAGCTAGACTGTACAGTATTAAGATGCAACAGAAAATAGTTGTACTACAGAGGAGAGAATAACATAGGGTACATGAATTATATTTAATACAGACGATGCAGATTCTTGCTCATCTGAAGCTTTCTATGTTAATCCAGTTTACAGAGAGTCTCCTCCCCCCCCCCCCCCCCCCAAGCTCCATCCCCATTGCAATACTTCTCTTCCCAAAAACTGCTGGCTAATTTGGATGAGGTTTGGAGCCTCCTTTGCTTTACACAATTGTGATGAAGCTGGCTAAAAACAGAGAGTGTGCAAATTGCACAGACCACCTACGTTGCAATTTGTAAACACTGCAAACTAATCATCCAAACAGTGAGAACAGTGAAACTGTAACAAGCCCAAGACACAATGAGAGTAAGAGTAATTACCAGCCTCTCCCTCCTTCTCCGTCCCCTCAAGTCTTCATTATAGTGTTCTCTGCATATAAGGGTCTCCACTGGAAAGTCAACACCTACTGCACAGAGGTATTTGAGATGGCATGGTTTCCCCCTAGGGATAGGAAATAACTGTGGTAATTGTGTGGTACCTGCTGGCAAGTGTTGACTTTGCAGTGGTGACTAGTCTACAAAGAACTAACTTTATAATACAGTAATCAATGCATTTGTTTGGAACTGCACCAAATCTTAAGCTACTAATATTATGTCTTCCAGAGCTTGTCTCCTCTTTGAGTATAGTGCAAAGTTACCTTCTCTATTAATATCCACAATAAAGTATGGAAAATAACCCACCAGTCCTGGTGCCTCCTTGGCACCTCCCTGGAAAAGAGGGGAGATGAGTCCCTGCCCAAAGTGATTCTTACTGCAAAACCAATGTTCTTTGTTTGTTTTGGGTGTGGAGTAGTTGGGATTGTCACGGAGTTCCAGAATTCTGCAGTACGCTAGCTTTCCAGTTCTCATTTTAAAAAAAAAATATGTCTTTCAGTGTGTCCAGTCTTTCTGTTTGAACTTGCTGGCTACATGGCTGATCTCCACTTTTTGTTTTTAAATTCTAGCATGACAGTTAGTTGCATTATGTATGTGTGTGTTTGATATTACTCCACCGTATCACTTACATGCCCCCCCAAATGCCCAGCTTGTCAGATATTTGACTTCCTGCAAGAACTGGCAACATCAGACTGACATGACAAGGCATATACCTGCCAAAGTACCCATCCCCCACCTGTCCACCTTGCCAGTCTTGGATGCCCCGCAACAACAGCCTCACCCTTACCACCAACCTTTGTGAGACAAGACACTGAACCTGGTTCCAGCTTCCCTCCTCCACCCCTCCTCTTCTCCCCCATCTGTTCCTTTACCTTCCATTTCTTCCTACAACATCTGCCAAGGTCCCTGTTCTTGTACTCTAGGTTTTTATACACAGAGTTTATCTGTCCAGCAAAGTTCTTCCTTAGCCTTACAGGATATTATTATTCCTCCGGGAAGTGTAAGTGAGTCACATCTTACTCTATTTTTCGGTTTTGCCTCTAATCCAAACCAAATTATTCTTCTTCCCTCCAAACCTCTTTCAATCTGATCACATCAGAGATTTTTTTTTAAAAAAATACCAACAACACTAAAAAAAATTCCTTTGAACTCTTTTCATACCAAGAGGGAAGCAGAAACCAAACTAAGGTTCATTTTGCCACAGAAATGTTATCTACACTAATAATAAAGTTATATATTTATCTAATGCCTTTAAAAATCCATCACAGAAGGGTTCCCTAACATCAAAGAGATATGAATGTGTATCTATATAGCTGTATAAACAACCTAGCACTTACCTTTGAGAAGTAACATTTATCCCTGGTTCGGTACAATAATTTCAGACAGGCACTTAGACCGTCTTTCTATGCCACGCATCCTTTTTCAAAAGGAGATAATATCAGACAAAATCCTAGGTTGATCTCCAGCTTCCCAAATCGCAGACTAACCAGCATTGCTGGCAGATGGAACCTGATTCAGTGAAGTCCAAGTGAGTGAATCCCTGAGACTCCTATTCAGTAAAATCCAAAGCGCGCACACACACACACACACACACACACAAGTGAATAACTTGTTCTTTTTCTTGCTTGATTTAAAAACCCCAGTCTTGGACGGCTAAGCAGCCTGCAGGCTTTTCAAGGATTTTGATCCCAGTGCAAAATCCAGAAGAACCACATGCATTTTGGTATTGCAAGTCTTCACGTTCATATTAGCAAGCTCATCTTGTATGTGTGTGTGTGGGGGGGGGGGGGGTAGGCACGGACGGGGTGAGCGAGTGGGATACACACACACACGCAGAGCTGGAAAAAGGAAAAACAGCAAACTGGAGTGATCTCACAAAGTGCTCTAGATGGCAGAGCCTGCAAAGCTTGTAAAACAAGCAGTGGGGAAAAAAAAAATCCACACACACCACCCCCCTAGCAAGCAGCTTCAGGAATTCTTCTTACCTCTTCTGCAGATGTAACATACAGCAAGTGCTTTATGCTGCATAGGAACCCTGGCAGACACAAGTCAATATGCTCTCACTACTTCTGAAATAACAAAACGTCCAAAGGGAAAAATAGATGCTAAAAATAAGCTACTCAAAAATAAAAGTGTCTTGGATGGGGGAGGGGGGTTGAATACTTGGTGCCAAAGGAGCGCTGCAAACCCCTGCTCCTAATACAGATTGGCTCTGTAATTATGTGGCAAAGCACTGCCTTCCTAAGCCATTGCATAATAATAGAATCCTAAGCTGGGTAGACACCGCCTGACATGCTAAATCCTCAGAAGCAACATTCAACATTTGTTGGCAGAAAGCATGTCAGTTCTCTGGTGGGGGGCAGTTGGGGAAAGAGGTGAAATTTTAGAGGGAAACACCCAGGCTGCAAAGGGCTGTTGAATGGCAACTGTGCCAAAAATGTTACTACCGAGGTAGTTATAAAACAATCTAATAGCACTGTCAGTTCCATTCATATTGTTTAATACTAGAGGAAGAATCTTTCCTTGATATATTTGAGTAGCTTCGGTGCCAACAAAAGGAGAGTGCAAAGGGATTATTTTATTTATTTTATTTTATTTTATTTTGCATGCTGCTGGCTGCAAGTAGAACTTCCTTTGTACTGAATGGCATAGGAATGTTTAATCATCATCATGAGCCAGGGGCTTGATAGCCCTTTCAGCTAACTGACTGGTCCCCCCCCCCCCCCCCAAACCTCAACCATGTATGATCTTTCTTCTGCTTCCACCACTTGGTGAAGTCTCTTGTATGGATCTGGGGAAAAGCAGAATGCTTTGGCTTGGGGAGAAGAGGGTTGGTGTATAATGTACTTGCAGGAAAGAAATAGAAATACAGCTTTTCAGTGGCTTCTTAAATAAGAATCACTGTGCCAGATCAGATCCAGGGTCCGCCTAGCCCACTAGTCTGTCTCCAACAGTGGCCAGCACCACATGCTTCACAGGAAGTGCAAAAAGCTTCACCTTAACTTCCACTAAGAAGAAGGCGGCTTATGCCCTAGAGAATGACCACCTTCCCCCATTCCGATGACACACAAGATCTGAATCTGCTCTCACACTGGTGTAACTTCACTGAACACCATGGAGATTCACCAGTGCAAAACTGGTATGAGATCAGAAACTGTCCCAGTGTTTTGGTCCGAGTCATGAAAGGTGTTTTCCACACCCAGCCATGGTAGTGGCCAGTTTATCCATTGCGTCTCATATGCAAACAGAGGGCAACCTAACAAGGCCATGCAATGGGACCAGCAGAACCAGTTGCATACTAGAAATGGGTCTTTAAAACATGTCCCCAAGGTTTCCAGTACAGTCTTGTTCATTCACCTTCTAAAGTGATCGCAAAAGTTGAGGCTGCGCATCTGAGATGCTTATAGTGAGGTTTCACTGTGGACAGCTTTGGACTCCCTCAAATAGCCTCTTCTCCTGACTCCCTAGTGTGCCCTCAATACAGAGAGATGATCATAGCAGACAACAGGCGGAATTTCCACACACAGACGTTCCCTGCAGAAGATGCTGTGGGATCAGTGTAGGTACTTACAGTGAATACAGGAGAAAAGGGCTGTATATGAGATGCATTTCACTTGTGAGCCCATGCTACACATGGTATAAACAACAGGGAGGCCAGTCCTGAAGTTCCTTAATCTATCTTCACTCAGGCAAAACTCCCATTGAAGTCAATGGAAGTTGTGAGAGAGTAGGGAAGGCTTTAGGATTTGGCCAGGTTTTTTCATGTATAGACCTCAAAGTATTTTATAAAGATGGGTATCTTAAGTAAGTATCTGCAAAGAACTGTTTCCCTCCCCCATGCCTTTGGCTTCAAATCTAAACGATGGTTGAAACTCAGTTTTCATTTGCTAGGAAATGCCGACATTTTGAAATTTTCTTTAGTCCCAAATCAGAATGAAGAGTCAGTTTCCTGCAAAAATGAAAATTCCGACTATTTCAGAAGAAGTATCAGTACAACCTTATCAAAGTGCTTCAGATCACTTCATTTTAGCTTCGTTGTTTTGACTTTGATGTTCTCAGTATAAGAAAATATATTTACTATTAATATAATATTAAAGTAAAAATGATAAATCGGGCATATCAAAACAAAACGCTTTGTTAGTTTGTCATCAAAAAATAGACAAATTTAATATGACCCTGAAAAACATTTGGATTTAATCTAATTAGCATTTTCTGATGGACAATTGTTCTGTCAGAAATTTTTGACCTCATCTAGATAGCAGCAGCAAAGTGGCAGCATGCTGAGACCATGGGCAGAACCATCTTCTATCTATCTGTTGTATGGCTATACCCGTTCCCCCTGCCCACAAACACACACTTCTAAGAGCAACACTAAGAGGCCCTGCAGGGAACCAGCACCGAGATTTTCAATAATAGGTACCATACCTAGAAGCATCCAAGTAAGTGACCTGATGTTTTAAGGGTGCTGAGAAGCTGACTGAAGTCAAGTTCAGTTCTTAGTCAGGTCACTTATTTAGATCCCTATAACATGGATTTAGGAGCCTGAGACACACCAACTTCTGAAAATCTCGGTTCATGTGTTTCAAATGGAAAAAGTTAAACCAAAGCCCTAATCACATATGGTTCTTACAAAAGATGTAGCAGGGCAGCACAGACAGAAAACAGGTCTCTTGATGATATCAGGGACTAATAATAGGACCATGATTTCAAATCAGACACCAAAACACTAACCACAAAGTGTCACTGCAATGACAGAAATCAATGAAGTCCATAAAAATCTCTCACCAGCTACCAACTGTGGCAAGGCTAATCCCTAATAGGAAAAGACATTCATACAAGTTGATTTATACAGCAGTGCTGACCTAAAGGAATTTAGTTGGACACTGAACTTTGATAAAGAGGTTTTTTTTGTTCAACATGCAATGCCAGATTGTGTTGACACCCAATGAAGGTTTAAATGAGATTACATGAGGGCAAAAGAAACAGATATCTCGGTGGCTGCAAAAGTGATTCCACCTGCTGCAAGCATCACTCATCTTCATGAACATGCAGCTAACATGTGCTGAAGTCTCTGCCACTGTGATTGACAGTGCAATTTGTCATGGGCATCTGGAGACCGTGGTTCCACTTCCCCCTACACTGGAAAAAAAAACCACCACCATAGAATTGGTGTGCATGGACGTGAAGTGGATGTTTGATCAATGGCTCCCAAACAACTTCATTTATTGGAGGATGGGTCCAAAAAAAGCTCATCACCGGCTGTCTTGATAGAAATAGCTACATGGCTGGTACGAAGTAGACCCATCTACTGTCAGAACACTAGAAATGGCAGTATGTATTACAAATATCTTGGACATCATGCAGCTGAGCAATTTATGAGTCATTGAGAGTTGTGCACACATGAACACACTAGTATAACAATTCCCCCTATGGTTTTAAGCAGCAGCTCTAGCCAGGGCACAAAACTGACCATGCCATTCTGTAACAGGGTGACCTTCAAAGTGCCTGAGACTGTTGGAGCAGATGAAGGCCAAGGGATGGGCAGAGGTAGGTGGTGGGAGAAAGAAAGATGGTCCTGGGGGGAACAGTTAGTGCTTCTGGGGGTGGGAGAAGAGAACCTCTCTATCATTCCTGTAAGGGCCCAGAATAAGGATCTTTGCAGTGCAGCTTGAGGGGCTAAGGCTCTCCCTCCCAGCCAACTAGGATGAGCCCAAGGAAGGAGGGCGGGATATATGCTACCTTCTCCCTCCTAACAGGGAGAGTGTGTGCACCAGCCTAGCTCAGAGAGAAAAGGGGACTGAGCTACACAAGGCACTAGCTGGGGAGAAGCCAGTTTAAGGCTGCAGTGAACCCAAATCACAGACCACAAGGAGGAGGGCTGTGGGACTCCTGAATAAAGACGAGTGAGGGCTGAAAGAGTGATTTAGAAGAGACTAAATAAAATAAGGCCCCACAATGGGGAAATCTTGTTTAAGTGTTACAGCCTGAGAGTAAGTCATTGCAAGGAACTAAGGACAGGGTGCCTACAGCACTACTGCAGGCCAGAATGGAGTGCTTTAGGATGGCATCCATCCACACCTCTTTTCCCTTCAATTCACTAAGAAGAAAATCCAGTTCTCAAGTCTGCAGCCACACTGGTTCAATGCAGAACAAGTATGGTTCCACCATGCAATAGAAAGGACTGGATTCCAGGGAAATGGGCAGAGGGTGCACAGAGCTCAGCTCCACAAGGAAAGTGGTGGTGAGGCACAGGCAGTGCAGGGCCAGAGACAGAAGAACCAGTGTTGTATGCATCTTCCAGTACACACACACACCTCCATACAATGGGACCAGGATCAGATCCCATTTTTGCTCTATTGGGCAAGATTATTTGGGTTCCTACCAGGACTGAAGTAGACGTGTCCAAAGTTTTACAAGAAGATTTCTTGCATGATTTCCAGCCCAACTCTACAGAACCAAGGCATTCTGCTAAACATCAGGGACAGATGATCAGTTGACATAGATTGCTCTAGCTCCATTGAATTCAGCTGAGTTGCAATGATGAAAACAAGTTGAGAATCTGGCCCCAGATCGTTTGGTTGCTTAGATGGATGGATCCCAAATTTTAAACCTTTGCAGAAATTCACCCATCACTCTTCCCTTCTTCCTCTTGCCTAGGATCAGCCATGGTATATTTAAAGATGTACACACATTCACAGCCAATATCATTGACACAGACTCATGCTACAAGGAGTCATGTTCTTCTGGAGGAATATTTCCCCATTATAAATGATGTCCTAAAATGGGGCTCTGCTTTTCCATGTTTTTATCATCCTAGCACCTAGATATCTAGGTCATAAATCAGGACGCAATTGTGCTAGGGATGCAGAGGTGAAAGTAAGC